TGTGGTTGTGGGACCTCCTGACCCTGGGTATTTGACTTAGTGTCTTCGTTGTTGACGAATAGGTTGTTGGCTTGCATTCCAGGTACGTTATGACTCAGCTTCTTACCTCTTGTGTCGTATCTCTACTCTTTATTGTCCTTTTACATTAGCATCTCACCTTATTAATTGTTGTTTATGCTTGTGTAATCTTTTGAGCTCAGTCGGTCATTGCCTGTTGAGTACTGTTTCGGTACTTATACTACACTTCTGCCCCTGCAGATTGCATTTTGAGTTATCTCTGTTGATTAGAGTCGTGCAGAGCAGTTTGGAGTTTTGGAGATTGGGGTGAGCTCCTAGTGTGTGGAGCTACTAGTTTCCATCTATTATTTTTGCTAGCTTAGTCATTATATTGTATTAAGAGACCACTCATACTTATCTTGTATTTGTAAAGTCTTGTACTCAATTTTTGTATTAGATGCTCAACTACCAACTGGTGCGAGGTCTTGGGATGGTTTCTATTTGTATATCTATTGTTTACCCTTTATTTGCTTGTTTTGAGCTTTATGCTTCTCGTTATTGGCTTCCACTTGATAGTCTGTTGATTATGACTCCAGACTAAGGGTTAGGCTTACCTACTTGTGGTGTGTAGTAGGTGCCATCATGACTTGAGAAATTGGTTCATGACAGAATTGACCCCTATTCTAAGCCCTATATAAGTGATTTAAGTCATAAACAACCAATTCTAAATCATTCTTCTAAATCATAAATTTCCCTCCAAGTTCATCCCCAAAATCTTCTCTAAAGCTAAGGAAGAGGAAGTTAGGGTTTCACTTCAAGATCTTCAATTCACCATAGCTATTGGGCCTTGATCACTAAGGTATATTAGTATTCACCTATAGAGTCTTTCCTCCTTAGGGTTCCTAAGATCTTCACATTTTACAAAGTTAGATTCTCAATTCAAAGTTAGGGTATTATTCAATCTTCATAGGTTCTTTTCAATTATGATTTAATTGTTTTTTTTTTCTATCTTTTAATGCATGAGTTGAAGTATTTACATGATTTTGAGTTGAATTCATATGAATCCATGATCCATGATTTTAGACTATAAATACATGATGAAGCTTATGAACTATGAAATATAATTTTTATAAAGATATGCATGCTTTTATGAAAGAGATGTAAATGATTTGAGGATGCTTTGAGAGGAAAGTATCAACGTTCTTTCCATGAAAGGTTTTCTCACATACTACTAAGTTCAAGATTTTGAAAGGTTTTCTCACATAAGGATTCATAAGGTTGAAAAGTTTTCTCACCTAAGTTGAATCAAGTTTTAAGAGCTTTTCTAAATAAACTTTAGCTTGGATTGGTTGCTAAATTGAGTCTTTTCAGGGATGATAATATGAATATGATTAATGACCATTATGTGCGATTTTGCTTAGTACCGAGCGAATTTTAAGGATAAAGGTTTTAGTTTAGTGTCCTTGGATCTTTAGTAGCAATCCCTAAGTTCCAGAATTATGCGCCACCACAGGATTGTCTCAGATAGACACTAGCTACTGGATCCACTTTAGCTCAGACTTATGGTTCATACCTTGGCAAGTAAGGACATCTTTTTTTCAGTGTGGAATAGATATTGAATTCCATGTTATAGCTCACATGGTCTTTGTCGGTTAAATGGTAAACATCCCACAATAATGAACGGTGGTTACTTTCAAAGTTTCTCACAAGTGTTTTAAAGATGTTAAGCTTGTATTTACCATGATTATGACTTATGTCTTCTAACCCTTTTATCATTATGGTTTAGTTTGGTCATTACATGTCATGTAAAGTCCTTTTTAGCATGATTTCATAACTCTTATGCATTGTTATCATACTTAGTACATTCCATGTACTAATGCATACTTGTGCCTACATTGTTTCACTAATTTAGGGTCCGACGCTCCCACCTCTCATACTTGTGGGCAGTTGATCTCTTGGCGTTCGAAGATTGGTGTGCCCTCATATTTCGAGAACCTAGACACTTTTATAGTTTTCCTTATTTCAGTTTTCAGACATTTGTATGTGGTGTATGGGTTACATCTCAATTACTTTCTTTTGATGTATAGATGACTTGTTGAGACTATGTTAGACTTTTTCTTAGTCAAAAACTCTTTTATGATACTCCCTCCGTGCACTTTTATTTGTTAGGATAAGGTCATGCACAACCCTTAAGAAAAATTTAATAAGAGGTGCTAAGTATAAATGCCAATGGAATAGATAAAACTTATATATCATTATAATATAGGAAATGTAATGATCAATACCAATCCACACCTTAAATATCAAAACATTGAATATCTCCTTCAAATACAATTTGAACATATGTGAGAAACCTTTCACCAATGTGAATTCATATGTGAGAAATACCTTTCACAACCATGATCATATTTGTATATGAGTAAACCTTTCACAACAACATTGATACTTTCATCTAAAAGCACCCTATTATCATAAACATCATTTTCATAAGACATGTATAACCTTCCAAAAGTCATAGTTCATACGTTCATGGGTTCTTCATAGGTTCATAGTTGGAAGTCATAAATCATGCATGAGTCCATATAATTTCAACTAAATATCATGTAATTACATTAAATCATGCAATAGAAGGTTGAAATAACAATTTAAATGATACTTGGATGCAACCCATGACAAATTAAGAAGAACCTTAATTTGATCAATTGAATTTGAGATTGAGAAATTGAAAAGTTTGGGGACCCTATGGAGGAATGGACTCCATGGGTGAATACCCGCATACCTTGCTACTCAAAACCCAAGATGTATGGTGAATTGATGACCTTGGAGTGAACCCTAGCTTTTTCTTCTTCCTTAGGTTGAGAGGGAATTTAGGAGAGTGAATATGTTTAGGTTCTTGGGAAATAGGAAAATGGTTTTTTAGTAGGTAGATGTAGGACTTAAAAACTTTATATAGGGCTTAGGATGGAAGCCAAAACGACATAGTATAGGCTTAAAACATTTAGGAAAAGACCCAAAAGCCCTTAAATTAGACCTACGGACCATAGATCTTTCTACGGTTCTATACTAGTCAACGTAAGCCAAGTACCTGGACCTAAAAATCACCCAACGTTTTACGGGACCCTTCTACGGTCTGTACGACTTTCTACGGTCCATAGACCCTAACCGTAGAACTCAACTTTAACTCCAAAATTTCACTAAGACTATGACCAACCTACGAGACCCATATATGACTCGTAGGACATTTGACAAATTGTCTTGGTCAACCATAGGATGGGGTACTGGGACTTGATTTTCAAAAATGATTTACTCATATCTACGAGACTGGTTACGACCCGTAGAAATTTGTATGAACCGTAGAAAGGTCTCGTAGACCTAAACCAGTAATGAAAATTCATGCAACCTATTCCCTTATCGAAATCCAAGGTGTTACACATGCCTCTTGTCACTCTTTCTGCCTTGACTGGGAGTTGACTAGATATTGTGGTTATTTCAGGTTCGAGGTCGATGTTTATGATTTGAGGCTATTATTTCTAGTTCGAGGCTGTTATTTCCACTTTGAGGCTGATGCTTATGGCTCGTGGCCATTAACTCTGGTTAGAGTCCATCACTTGGGGCTTGAGGCATAGCATACACTTATTGGATATGTATTTGAGGCACTTCACTCTCATCGTCTTAGCTAATCTATGTACCTATCGGGCTTATAGGTTCCGTTCGAATTTTATTTAAACTTGCGCACGAGTGTACCATCTGGGATTATAGGGACCTAGTTAGGTTTAGTTTAGTTGTAGTTATATTTTCTTTTGATATGCTCGCATGCTCTCTTTCATATTTGCTTGGACCTCTGTTTCTGTCTGTATTCTATCTTTTCATATTGTTTTCACCTTTCTTGCTCAGTCAATCTTTGATGCCTACTGAGTAACTTTTATCTTTGTACTCATTCTACCCTCTGCATCTGTTTCGTGATGTAGATCCTAGTACAAACTACAAATGGTGATTGTTCATGCCATTTTTTGCAGCTTTCAGGGATCAAAGACGAGAGTATGCACTTGGCGTTCTAGATCAGCCTGTCTCCTTCTGTATATATGTCTAGCTAGTCTTTTGCCTTTGCGATGACTTGTTGTGGTCCACTTTTGGGACTTCTATTTTTCATATTAGACAACTCTGTACTCGTGATTTCAAGGTTTTTGGAGGGATTCTATTGTATATAGATTTTGTTTGCTTCCGCTTTTGTCTTATTATATTGTCTAGTGTTGGTTATGCTTAGTTCTACATTGTACTCATTACTAGTCGTTCTGAGTACGAGTTTGATTAACTACTGATGGGTTATAGTAGGTGCCATCATGACTCGAGGGATCGGATCGGATCCTGATAGTATTTTTCAGAACTTTTCTTAAATGTCACCATCTTAAATAGGCCCAGACCTGGAATTCGACTTCCAACCTTGAACAAAACTATCAAGATTTTTTTGCAGCATATTTTGATTGATAAGAACCTTACCTATTGTCCATTCAAGCACTTTATAATTGCACCACATTATAGACCCAACGAAACCTTTTTCATTAAGTTCACTGTATCTTGCGGTCAAGGAATGACTTGCTCTGTTTTCTATAGGATTAGAAATACAATTAAATTTATCCATAACCATTCATCAATGTCATGTGTTGATCGAATAATTATCAATTCTCTTCACATAATATTGTTCTGTTAACGGGACTTTGCACTTGGCCTAAAATGTAGTAATGGTAACTCATCCCTACTATTAATCTAACAAGTAAATTGTTGCCTAGAGTAAAAAATCACTAAAATGACATCCAACCTTGAATGTGACGATTGGATTTTGACCATTTAAATGGACAAGTTATTGATAATATTAAGTAGTAATACATATGATGTTGCCAACATACAACATAAAGAAACTAAAATATGAAGAGTCTATGATCTATTAAATGGACCAAAGATAAATAATCTAGACAATTAAAAAGAGATTAATTGTCATTGATTGATCAATCCAAATTTCTGAATTCTTCCCCATTTAAAGCTTCATTGAGGAAAACATCATCCCATTCCCATGCATCATTCTCAAGTGTGTTTTCAACATGATATTCATTGTTTCCCATGGTATTCTCCTGATCATTGTGATAAAACATTAAAAGTGAGTATTTGTGTGAATAATATAATAAAATTAATTTATAAACAAACAAATAAAATTAATTACTCAATAATAATATGAACATATCTTTGAACTAACCTCCATGGAATAGTTTTATCCATTAACATTAGGATTTATTGCATCGCTTTGAACTGAAGAGTGATCATTTTTTTGAATGATGTGATTGTTGGTGTTGTTATTATGAAAGTTGTCATTCCCATTTGAACTAACCTCAATGAAATTGTTAAATCCATTAACATTATTTTGCTAGAAGTTCATAATAGAGTTGTCACTACTTTCACCAAAAGTCACTTGTGCTTGCAAAATATATGACTTAACTAGTTTAGTACAAGGGATGGGAGTGGGGTGCGGGTCGGATTTAACAAGGAATGATATTTCAAGAATATTAATGTACCTGTGATTTTACAAATGTTTGTGTCGAATTCTGCTGGACATCTATCACCATGTTTTGTTGTTGGCTCTATTGTGCAAATAAAATTAATTATATAAAAAAATAAAAAAATATCTCGTTCTTTTTAAGAAGATCTTAGTTACTGCACATTAAAAATAGTGTTACCTGAAATGGGATATAAGGTGACAGGTCTTGAATTTGAGAAAATGGTATATTTCTAGACTGTGAAGAACTTGCAAATGAAGGGGTATATGTATAATTTCTAAAATTGTTTGCTACTCTCTTCCCTTTGTCCATCCGATCTTGATATATGCTCTCTTGGATACTTGAACTGTAATAATAACGAAATAATAAAACTAAACGAAAAAAGGAGAGGGAATTTTTCGTAGAAAAATATCATGTGAAAAAAATTAATGACCTGTATGGATTAATCCAACTATTAGTATCAAACTGCTGTAGAGTTGTTTGTTGGGAAGCAAATTGAACATCCATGTTTCCTTGTTTCTCCAATTCCATCTTATCAAAATTCATTTGATATTAATTAGGATCTTACATAGTTTCTAAAAAATAATTATTTTCTTAAATGATAAATCTAGAAAAAATTATTGGATGAAAGAGCAAACTTTTCTAGCCTTGATTTTTTGGAGACATAGATGTAAGTTCCTCTCACACCAAGAAAGTTGATGAAGAGAAGACTCTTCATCTAGTCCTGGTTCGTAATCCCTACAGAAAGATGTTTGACTTGACACGAAATTTAAGAAAATAAAGAAGACTTTTGAATCTTGTGGTCCTAAATTAAAGTTATGTCAAATGTACAAAATAGTCTTTTAATCTCGTGGCCTTAAACATGCCACGTGGAAAACTTAAATTAAAATGTTATCAAAGAAAGAAAGAAAGAAATCATTCTTTTTGAAACAGACTAAAAGAAAGGAAGTCATTCTTTTTTAAACGGAGGAAGTATAATCTAAATGTGTAAATGAATGTTGAAGGTAAGGTAGATATATTTAGCCAAGATGTTACAATTAAAAAGAACTAAAAATGAAAACACTTGTGATGCTAAATAAAATAACCTTATGTTAGCATCCACAATCTGCAATTCCAATGTGCTCTTCTTGATTTGTAGCTCCAGATTCTGCATTAAAGAATTTCAAGTTAAAATGAATTTATCAACTTTCCTCATTGGCTCTAATAATAATAACTAGCTATAATAGAAAGGATAGATTGAAAAGAGAAAAATGACTTATAATTCAATTTAAAACTTGACAATAAGAGAGATCAAATTAAGTTCTTCTCACCTCAATCCTGTAGAAATTCAGGCACCAGCAACAAACATCCAAAGGCAACCATCATGAAAGAGTTTAATTCATTAGTGTGAATCAATTTTACTTGATACAAAAGAAATCAAGCATTAGGTACTAGGTAATATTCAATATTTTGATAAATTAAAATTGTGTAACGCTTATATAACTCCGTTCATGTGAGCTTGTTCACATTGCCGGTCTCAAGATAAGATAATTGAGGAGGATTGCCGATTATAAATCAGAAACAACTTCTATACACTACAAAAATAGGAGTAAGGTTACATACATCTTATTCTCCCGCGACTCTACTTTTAGGATTACACTCATCAACTTGATCTTGTTATTGTTGGTGCAACACTTATAGGTTAATGAACACTATACTATAAAGAATTAAAGCTAATGAACACTATACTAAAGAATTAGTTGTTCGTCTATATTTTTCCCTAGTCAGAAAAGATTTTGTTAATTATGCTTTGGTTGACTTTCTAATCTCTTTTCTTTATTATATTATATACGCGTAAAATACAAAGTACAATAATAATAATAATAATAATAATAATAATAATAATAATAATAATAATAATAATAATAATAATAATAATAATAATAATAATAATAATAATAATAATAATAATAATAATAATAATAATAATAATAATAATAATAATAATAATAATAATAATAATAATAATAATAATAATAATAATAATATGTATATGATTTTTAAGTTTATAGACTCGCCAAATTAATTTATCTATATATTTGTAATTAGTAGTCAAAGCACTTATAAGCTAAGTGTCTATGAATCAAAATCAGTCAAAAGTAATAAGTTGTCACCCATATTAATTTTTAAATTTTCATTTTAATAAGCACTTTTGATTTCAATAAGTATTTTATTCATTTTTCTGTAATAATTTTTTCTTTCTCAAAGTATTATTTTCAAAATTGAGCTCTTAATTCTCTCTTCATTTCATTTTTATCGTTTGTTACTTTTAAAATTAATTATTTGTAAGTAACATTAAACAAAATATAATTAGAGAGAAAAATAAATTAAACAAAGGAAGAAGTGAGAAAGAGGAGAGATCCAAACTGTTCATCAAGAAAGTGTAGCTTGCTAACATCTCCACTGATGTGGTTCAATTTCCTTAGTTTTGTCACCTTTTCCTTCATTTATATACCAAAAAAATATTAATAAATGGTGAATAAAATTGATCCCAATAATTAAATTTTGTTACAACTCTCTATCAATTATACACTTTTTGCCTTAAGTCAAACTTCTTGTCTTTAATGAATTAAAATTAGTTGAAAATCATTTAGTATTTCGTCAAATTTGAGGATGTCATTTTCTGAATCTTTTAACTATCACCCACTCACTTTATTTTAATTTGTTTTTCTGATTTTGTCTTGATATAATTTAATAAAGTAAAGAAGACTTTAAATCTTATGATCTTAAATTAAAGATAAGTAGAATGTATTAATATGTCATTTAATTTTGTGGTCGTATATATGTTACATTGAAAATTGAAATTAAGGATTTGCCGAAAATGGATTTAAAAAACATTTTTGATGAAGGAACTGAATGTCCTACATCAGTGAATAAATCAAATCCTAGTCTCCTTATTTGACTAGGTAATCCTCCCTTTAAATTATCTTTAAGCTATGATTTAGACCAAGACCTAATTAACTTTACATGGTATCAGAGTCAATCCTGTTGTATGACCTAGAAAACATGACATTTGTGGGGTGGAAATCCTTTGATCTCAATCTAATGGTGGGGTGATAAATGGAATTCCGGATAAAAATGTCAGAATAAGGGTGAGAGAGGGGGTGATAAATGGAATAATGGATAAAAAATGTACGAATCTAAACGGAGTGATGGTGGTGTGATAAATTAAATCTCGGATAAGGAATATATAGATCTGGGCGTGAGGGGGGAGGAGAAGATAATCCTTATAAGGCTTAAACAACTTTCCTCCCTTTAAGTTAGCTTTTGGTGTATTAGTTAAGTTCAAGACCTAACTTAACTTTTTTTTTTAAAGAGATTAAAAATAATAAGACAAACAATTTAAAATGGAAAGAATATTAATTTTCATTTCAAACTTTAGTTACTTTCACATTAATTTAAAGATTAGATGAATTAATTCACATTAATAGAAACAAGACATAATTTTAGAACATAAAAAAATCCTGCAAATACATATCGATAAGAAATAGGTAAAAGCGTAAAATACCTGAACATTGGCCATGTGACTAACCTCAACAAAAGAAAAAAAACTCATAAGTTAGTGCTACAACATAAGTTACTAATAGCAAAATTTATAAAAAAATTCAAGTCAAGAAATCTAGGAAAAGTTAATGGACGTCAATCTCCTCTCAATGGGAAACTTAACATAGCGTTGAAGAATGTCTTCAATTCTACAAAAGTAAAAATTTAGTTCAAAAATCAATCAAGTTAATTGTTTTATAGATTAATAACTAGCACAATGTAACAGAATATTCATATGATAGTTTTCAAAATCGTAAATGCAATACCTCTTTTTGCTACAGAATTTACCAAGTCGAGCAGCAGGCGAGAACGCGACAAACAACATGTCCACATCACAACAAATTGCAATCTCTGCCGCTTTCTTTAGTAAACTACTACGTCGCTTAGAAAATATGACTTGACGTTTCGTCATTTCTTCTATTTTCTTCATCTCTATTTTTCTGCCCATCTCGAAGATCTTTCAAGGGATTTGTTCTCTCCCTTGAAAGGAACAATAGCTTAGAGTGTTGTGTGAAGTGTATGAATAATGCCCATCCAAATATAAGGTAAAAAAAGCTACAAGGGTCATATAAGAAATAAATAAAAAGTTGGTCAACCTCATCCAAGCATGGTCGTGTGACTTTGTTGGTCAACCCCATCCAAACATGGTCGTGTGACTTTGTTGGTCAACCTCATCCAAAATGGTCGTGTGACTTTATTATTAAATGCTAAATTATCATCATGAATTTGAGATTTAGATAATATTAGTTAAGTTTACACGTTTTGCACGTGTATATCACATTAATTAATAGTGTGTGTATATATATATATAACACATACTTCTATACTACCTTAAAAATATGAACTCCCTAACTTGAATGTTCAATTACTATATTACCCCAACTTAAAACACCTAATCTAGTATATCTTTTATATTTTATATTATATTACATTTATTTATATAATAAAATATATTAAAATAATATATCTTTTCACATCGAAGGATTGTATCTTTTTAAAAAGAGTTGTGACTTTTTGAAAGGACGTGACTTTTCCAAAAAATTATGACTTTTCCAATGAATTGTAATCTTATCACATGGTTATGACTTTTCTGAAGGATTTTGCCTTTTCTGATAAGGCATAATAACCACATGTTCATACTACCCTTTTTGTCTTTAAATAGAGGGGTTTTCCCTCACATTTTTAAACTATAAATTTCTTACGTCTTCTTCTTCTTCTTCTTCTTCTTAAAACAACCAGTTTAGTATATATTTTAGATTTCATATTATATATAACTCGAAAATTGGAATGTGAAAAGAAAAGGGAAAATTTTGATTTTTGGCACTGACATGTGTTCTACGAGTCCTTTCTAAGGACCGTAAGAAGTTATACAGGTCGTAGGATGGGATTCATGTACTTGGGGATGAGTTTTTAGAATTTCAAGTTTCTGAAGTTTGATTTACGAGTGGATAGGACAAGTTGTGAATCCTTTGATGAGTCATAGATGGGTTCTGTAAAAAGGTTCTAGACTTAGTGAAATTTGTGGGTTCTAGTTGAGGTCTACAGATGGGATTTACGGACCGTCGGAATTTAGACGGTCTGTAGAAGGGTGTCGTAGGGAGTTGGCTAATTTTAGGTCGTAGTAACTCGACCTACGGTTGACCAATATAGTCCGTAGGAATTTCTACGGTCCGTAGGTCTACGGACCAAACTGTATGGTCCTCTAACAATTATTTCCTAAGAGAATTGGGTCTTTTCCTATGCTTTTAATACCTATACTATGTCATTTTACCCCTATTTCTAAGTCCTATAACTACCCTTCAATCCCTTAAATTAACCCAACTCTCTCATTCACTCAAATCCCCAATTCCCATCCACATTCATCCTCTCCACATTCTCTCAAGATCAAGGAAGAACCCCTAGGATTTCAAGCTTGAAGTCTCCTATTCCTCCATTGCTTTTGACTTTAATCCTCAAGGTATGTAGGGCTTCATCAATGGGTCTCATTCACCCATTGAGCCTCAAGGTTTCTCAATTCTCCAAAGTTCGATTTCACCAAAATTGATTAGGTTTTCATTCAATTTTTCGTGGAGGTTTTTAATAGAGTCCTAATTTTTGAGATTTTCTACCTAAATTAAATAAAGAATTTAATTCTTTCCAAGTTAAGGTGCTACTCCCTCTGTCCCATATTAGTTGATCATTATACTAAAAATAGTTGTCCCATATTAGTTGATCACCTTACTAAATTAAGAAAACATTAATTGAATTTTTTCCATATTACCTTCGAAATTAATTTTTCTTGAAATTGTTCACACTTGTTTGTAAAGTTCCAAAGAAGGGTTTAAGGGGTGAATTGATAAAACTATCCACTTATTTATGATTTCTTAATATGCATGTAAACTGAAAGTGATCAACTAATATGAGATGGAGAGACTAAGAGAATTACATTTTGGGAAAGTTTTCATAAATAGAGAAAAAAAGGATCTATCCTCTATATCTTCTCTTTGCATTTAGAAATGTATCTCTTCAATTTCTCTATATCATCCATGGCAGCATGAGATTCTCTGAACTTAGTCCTACCTCCAATGTATCTTGATTCATCTAAACGGTGAGTATCTCCCTTTTCACGTTTGTAAAAAGTCGATTCATCTATCTCATTTCCTGCAGCTATTCATTTTCATTTTTTACTTTCAAATCTCAAGAATGGATAACAAGTTTCGGTGGTCCTTCAAACTCGTACTAGCTTACCTTTGTGACCAACTTTCAGGTAAAATGAAGTGCCTCATGTGAATTGATCCTTCCTTTGTTTTCTGCGTATGACCTCCAATTCTCCTTTAATTCGATTGGAGTTTTTATGTATTTTTGATAGATTCAACTCCATGTGACGATCTGTAATTGTGCTATTTTTGGTGCTTTTACAAAAGCATGAATTGTTTACTGCCTCTCTTGAAAGCTATCATGATATAACTGTTCTTTTCCCTTCATATATTATTTGAATCATCCAGAAATATAGCTAGAAAATAGAGGAGTATTGATGTTTATCTAATAGATGCAATGAGGTTTCTTTCAGTATGACAATAGATAAATACTTAAATATGTATAATGAATGACTGTCATGTATACCTAGACGGTGAAGGTTAAATGAAATTAAAATCATTGAAGGAGTTAAAAGGTTTTAAAGTGATTTTATTGAGTACCCAAATGATTGTGATATCGCTTGACATATAGAAAGATCAATATTTATCTCATAATTTTTTATTTTTTTTAAATACCATGTATTACTACAATCAATGTTCTTACATATCCTGCTGTCACTATTGTCAAGACCCCATGTAGACCCTAAGTGTGACATGGCGTATAAGACCCCGAGAGGCCCCATACAAGTTACTTAGTATATATCGTACAAGATAATAGAAATCAAAAGATTTAAAAAGACAAGTTCAAAACATAGAGTTTTATAAATGAAGCGGAAGTCTAAGTAATGTATCAGAGCCATCTAGTATAAAGGAGTAATCGGGATGTAACCCGTACATCAAGTTCAGTTTCAAAAGTAAAGACAATATGAAATAAAGGCTTGGTCCTCGAAACACGAGGACTCGCCAATATTCAAACTTAGAAAAGCCACAGAAATGAGAATCTAGAGAGTCAGACCCTTCATTTTAGGAGAATGTAGGCAAGAGTATGCGTTAGTACAAAAATGTACCAAGTATGATAACAATGCATAAAGTATGGAAATCATGTAAACATGGACCTTTTCATGATATACAATGACCAAGCTAAAATATGAGATAAAAGAGTTAGAAAACATAAGTCATAAAAACATGGTCAATGCAAGTAGACATCATCTTTAAACATTCGTGAGATACTCCTTGAAGTAACCTTGATTCATAAATATTGGAGATTTACCTTTAACATACATGTAAGACCATATGAGCTATTAACATGTAATCTTGTGTCTACCCCACACCGAAAAGAGGTGCTCTCACTTGCCAAGGTAAGAACCATGAACTTTTACCTTACGTGGATCCACAAGCTAATGTCTATCTAGACAATTTATGGTGTCACATAGTTTATGGGACATGGGTAATCGCTACTTGCCCACTCTGTGCTAAGCATAACTCCCACAGAAAATTGATTAGTCTTAACTTTCCTTAACATTCATGAGACATGGGTAATCACCACTTGTTTTAGCATTGGAGGTCATGGGTAATCGCCACTTGCCTCATTTTTTGAATAGCTCCTTAACTTTGATTCAATTAAGGCAAGAAGACCTTTCAACCTTAGAATCCTTTATGTGAGAAAACCTTTCAAATTCCTCAACCAACAACAACATCAATTATGCTTCACTCTCAAAGCAACTTATATCATATTTCATCAATTTCATAAGAACATGCATATTTCAATAATTCTCCTTTCAAAGTTCAAAATCCACTTTCAATTATAAATATCCAGCAAACATGGGCTAAGCATGGGTTCATGGGGATTCATATTAAAAACATGGAATCTTTTTAATTCATGCATAATACTTCATAAAATAATCAATTATATCAACATTGAAAGAAACCCATGACATAGAAGAAAATCCTAACTTAATTGGGGATTTATAACTTTGTAAATTTGGGAAATTTAGGTACTCTATGGAGGAGAGGTCTCCATAGATGAAGACTATCATATCTTGATGCGAAAATCTTGAGATCAATGGGGGATTTTGAGACTTGATCTTGAAATCCTAGATTTCTTCTTCAACTTCTACAGAGAAATATTTGAGGGGATGAACTTGCTCTTCTTTTGAGAATTTGAGAGAATGAGTTGATTTGGGTATTTTTGGGGTTAAAAACCTTTATATAAGGCTTTGGTTTAAGGGCAAAATGACAGGGTATTGAATTAAAATTATCTGGAAAAGACCCTGACTTAAAATTGACGCAGTGACTTAATGGTGGCATTCACGTCCCATCAAGGACTCCACGAGCCGTTATGGCCGTCATGGTACATGACCAGTGGCTAGGGGAAAGGACCCCTTCCTGGTTGGTCACTTGACGACCCCAACTATAACACCTCGAAAACTAGACCCAAAAAAAATGAAGAAATTTACAATTTACCTGTTGCAGTGGACAACGGCAGGGTTCACGAACTGTGATAGGGTCCACGGTCCGTAGACCTGCCCATGGCCATCACTTTGAACAAACCAGGCCCAGGCATCAGACCATGGGCACTTTTACGGTATGTGGTGGTGTCCATGGTGAGTCAACTAGTAGACCCCCCAAGCCTAGCCCTCGGACCCCTAAGCCTAAGTGAGGACCACGAGGACCTTCACGGTTCGTGGCCCTCCACATAGGCTGTAGTAGCATTCGTGAAGGCTATCCAGTAGGCCCCCTAGTCTTGCCTCAGAAACCCCTTACCCAAGTAAGTACCACGGGGACCTTCATGGTCTGT